CCATAAGGGGTGGGAGGACAGGAGAGAAATGAAGTAAATCATGTAACTGGGGAGGGTGGATCTAATATTGGAAGCTGGGATGTACTTAATCTCCTGTGGATTAAATTTGAACCTAGTGCTCTGGCTTTAAAAAGGATCTTCTGAGATTTAAAGGGGGTTGCTGTTGTTAGCAAATGCTACATAGGTCCCATCCCCCCATGTTCACTCCATTTGGCCGTCCTCCATGTGTGTAACTACGGTCAAAAGGAAATGGGGTGATAGTGGATAACTGCCGGCTAATATTCAGTTGCATTTGCTTATTAAAACCTCACCCTTAAATGCAATAATTATTTGTGAAATGTGTCAGTAGAAGTGAGTGGATGGCAATTCTAGGAGATAATGCTGCAGTGAAAACAACAACTAAATGCTGCTAATTGGGGAAAAAATTTATTGTTCGGCGAACTACAGCTATAAAAGTGTTTGCACTATTTTGTTACATAATCACACTTGACAACTATTGTTTGTAACAGTAAAGTGCAAACATAATCACTGAAATAGAAAATTACAGGTAGCAATGTCATTAAGGATGCAGTTCACGAGAATTACTAAAGTGATCATGATTTATGATTATTGTATGTGTGGACATTCACCTTAAAGAACTGAATCCATGTAAAAAGTAGCAATTTTTAACCAGTTAGGCAAGTTTTCAGAGTTATTCGTGTACATGCATAAGAAACAAATCCCTAACAAGTTATGTTGAAGGTGATCAGTTTCTCCATTGGTCTCAATTCTAAACATGCATGAGCTTGTTGAGACAGTGCCAGAGCCATAGATTTTAATTTCCCAGACTGAGACGAGGCAAATGAACACTTTCCCCTGTATTACATGCATTTATCGTGAATGTAAAGCTAAGTGCAGGATGGATTGATCTTATGGGAAAGCGTACATAAGTATCTGCTTGCAGGTCATTTAATTTCTTGAAACAATCTTCATCTGCCAATGGAACAAATGTTTTATTTCTGTGATTATGTCACCTCTGTCTGACTTCTTTGAAAGAGTAAAATTTTATGATTGACCTCTTAAATTTTCCCTAACAGCGAAAGGAATTACCGTTCCTGGCATGGCAACCATGTCACACACTAATATTCTGAGGATATCCGAAATACTGATGTTATTTTCGAATAATATAGGAACAAAAATATAGGGGGCCAGCAATAACAAATTTTTGTCATGTTTGACTTTAAAAATACCGCTGGGTCTATGTATAAGGCTGCTATACATACATTTATTTTACTTGTAAAGGAAATTGAATGAAAATTGCAAGCTTAAACGAAAAATTTTGCCCAGTAAGGATTTTGTTTACACTCTTTACAAAATGTAACGCTTCCCTACATGTCACACATTATCGGTGTTGTAAACTGTTCATTGTAAAATAAAGCTTACTGTAAAACGGTGAAAAGGCTGATCGGCTGTCCTCAGTCCGTTGCAAAGATACGTGTCGATTTTACAGATGGTGTAATTCCTGCTTCCTATCCTTGCATCGAAGACGATAATTTTGACTGTAAACTTTCCTCTCCTTGCGAATTCTATTGACCGAATACTGAAACGTCGGCAGTCGGTGTTCCCTCTCTTCGTCGGCTTCTTTTGCAGTGTAACTGTAGTATTTTGTTGCTAACTCTTTACATATTCGTGGTCGCTGTATAATCTCTGCCTCTAGTTGACAGTGTTTGCCTTCGCTGTGCTGTTACTCGTGCTGAATTTAAAGTCGACGTCGTTGCTCAGCGAGGATTTTCAGCTACTTGTTGAATCCACCCTTATTGAGTTTGCTGTTCTGTTTTATTTACCTGAGATATTGGGTGGTGACTCACCGACCGTAAACATTGTTATAATTCACAGATGAAAAAACCCGTCTTCATGAATAAAACCCAGAGCTTTGTCGTCGATGGCAGTCGGTTGCCTCGAAACCCATAATGTGCTTTGACGTCACTACTCTGGATGACGTCAAGACGGACACCAACCAAACTCAATAGATTTATAGCCAAAAGGAAATCACACTGGCCTTGCGATGCTTGAGTGATACATGCGCGCGACGAGATTATAAACCTCACGGCTCGGCGCTCTGCGCCTCGCTTCGCGAGGAACAACAGTCCTAATCCAGTCGATTGCCAAAAAAATTATCAAAAAATTTTAAAGAGGAAATGGAAGAAAATTGGACCATCAACTACTATAATCAACATAAGAGTAAATAATTGATCAGTTCTTCAGTAATCATTCATTCACAAAAACTTCACTTGCCTAACCAGATTGGCTAATCTGTCATGGATGGGAAAACCTTCTACAAGTTATTTAAGGCACATTTTCATGCATGCATTTCTTCATTGATTATCAAGCCACAATTTACATAACAAAATCAGGGGTTATCGTCATGAAGCAACATATTTTGGTTATTCAATTAAATTTCTATTGAACCAGGATTTGAATTAAATTCAGTGGTCATGATTCAAATTTACTACTATGGTCTATCTATTACTGATGAACTTCCTTTTCACTATATTAAACTGTTTACATCAGATAACTTCAATTTTGACATCAATTTATTTTTACCAACAAAGTATTAAGAACAAGATAAATAACAATAGAATAAGGATCGTCGCTAGAAGTTTCAATTAAAATAGTTCTATAATTAAGGCAGATGCTAACTGAAACAAATGTTCACCGGTCGTAATGCTCATAGTGGGGGTGGCACTACTCAAATGTGTGATTAGTGAAAAACTGATACCGTGTTAATTAGGGCAGGGAATTTGCCCCCTTCTGTCATCCCTGCCATGGGGCATTCGGCAGGTTAAGTTTTCCAAATGCCATACAATGCAAAATAGTGCTACATGTAATATCCAAGGAAGGGTGCATGGGTGAATCTGGAACTGAATGATGCATTAAAGGGACTGTACAGGGGGAGAGGCTGGGTAGCACCCCCAGCCCTCCACATGTTAACAGTAAAAAGGAAGCAATGCTACTAAAACAATCAGAGGTTATTTTCTATTTCATGTTTTAGTGAAAACTGATTATTCACACTGCACGAAGGTTGTTAATTAACTTTTATGGCAAAGTCTTAACACCGCCATAAATATTTGAAAATGGAGAATTAGGTACAGTTCTGGACATCCTGGGTCATTCAGTCCTGCCAGTATTACAAACAAGGAAGCGCATATGGTCTATGGGAATATAAACAAGGAAGGCGGGACTGCACAAACTGTTGTTGTTGGCCATAAGAAAAGATCTCTTAAAATCTCTGACTTGTATTTGAAAAGGGGAGGTTATTGTGTATGTATTTTGTAATGATTAAAATATATAGTACCGATGAAGGGTGGTGACTTTGCATGTTTTGATCACATTATATTCAAAGTTAAGGAGTTGACCATGAGGCAGAAGTGTGACAAGGAATTCATACTTAGATAGGCTTAACGTTAAAAAAAAAAAGTTTGAAGTAAATTAGAAAGAGAAAGGTAATTTTATAGCTTACCATGCGAAGACATCAGATTTCCCTTTGGGATAACCCGTTGAGACCCATCTTCAGCTGTGATAATGGCTTCACCATATTGTTTGGCGTGCCCAAACGTTCTAAACCAATAAGTGAACACAGCGGCATAGCCCCTGATTACAAGAGGCTTAAGCCCACGACAACATAAGGTGCCTATCTTATTTCCTTTTGTTTCCCCCATCACGTCTGAAAAGGAATGCTTTAAGATGAATACAAACAAGTCTCGATTCAACACCAAAGATGCGACATAAAAATAAACGTAAAATGTACAGATGCGACACTGTACACTGTGGACAAAACTGGTACAAACGCACAAAAGATAAGCTCATAAGCTAAGAATATACTTACGAAAGATGAATTCATTTCACTGTCGTGCAAATCCCCATTTCTCGAACCTTCAATTATTTCTCCATAAACCAAACCAGAGGCTTACAATCCCAAATGCCTCTTTGACCTTGAGTTGAATTTTCAACTGGAGCCCATGCCATTTCAATATTGTCATGGATAACCCGGCCTTTGCACCATTTCCCATTTCACTCCCCCGCCCAAAAAAATTACCCACACGGTAATACTGCGAACTGTGGTAGCATGGACTAAGGGCTTTACTTTTAATTCCACATTATGCAATAACACAATCTGTGTTTTTTTCAGGTTAACTGCATTTTGCGATGATTTCAAACCATGTCTTAGTATTCATTCGCCAAAAAAAAATTAAGTGTAAACAAGGAACAAACTGTGACAGTACTGAATGACTATGCATCATTCTCAAGCGGCTAGCAAACCTTTTTGTAGCCAAACAGTACAACAGTAAAGATAAAAAGAATGGCTGCTTTTATCAACAATTATTAATGATTTTCACCCCCTAATTGTATTAAACTTTACTATTTCCAGAGGGCAGAAAGCTTGATGCCGGAATGCTATGACACTCCGGACTGTACCATGATCTCCAAAGATTTGCTTTCTCCCCAACTGGGCATCCTCCACCCATACACCTGCAAGCTCCATTTCGGAATGGAATCCTGACTCCCCCAATGCAGCAGTTTAACAGTTCCATGAGCCCAATGAGAAGCTCGGTGGAGTGGTTGTTTTGGGACATAATTAATTATTTTTGCTTTCTCGATTTTAAGAACAACTTAAAAATAGGGCTCAGCCAAATAGGTAAAATGTACATTGTTTGTGCCCTTTTAAGGAATGCCCTTACATGGCTTTATGGTAATACTACCTCCCAGTATTTTGAGTTGGACCCACCCATATTGCAAGAATACTTTGCTTAATAAGTATGAATATACTTGGTATTGTCTTATCTATTACCGCTTGGCCATTTTTGTCTCGGCTAAGTTGGTAGTCGAAAGCTGACGTCAGACCTTTCTTGAGTCGTTCATTAATCTTCTCATTGTGGACCTGTCCGCATGGCGTTATCTACACCTTCAAGTTTGTCCTGCGGGCAGAAAGACCACGTGATTATGTCGACCTTCTGTTATCCATGGCTCACCTACCTAACATTATCATAAATGATATGGCAAACATGCTGGTTGCACATGGCAACAAGAGGAAGAAAGACATGTTTTATCCCTTTAACGGCATGGTTGCAGAGCTGACGCAGATCAATATCCAGAAGGCGTTGGATGGGAAACTGGAGGTTTCCTTGCCTTGGCTCGACTCGGGAAAAGGCAACCCGGCCATACAGTCTTTTGAAGTTCATCCAGTATTGGGAAGTGCTCAACATTTGTGCCTATTTGACAGATTACACGAAAGGAATGTGAAGAAGGAAGAAGACACACTGCATTGTGTAATGAACATTAAGGAATTGAAAGGGAAGCTTAACACACAGAAAGACGAACAGCTTCATGCATCATATAATCACGACAGCAGATATTTGAATCAAATGAAGCCTATTAACCATATCTCCCTCTTTCGCTCAAACAGCGACGTCCCCGAAACTCATCCTCCAGACCAGCCCCACATTTTTCTAAAAGCCTTCTGGAACTTTGCTTTGTCTTTGGAAATTGCATTCTTTACCTGAAATATTATGTCCAGTTTTGCTCCATTTGGTTTCAATCCCAGTGACTTTGCAAAAGACAGGACCTCTTTCAGGGACCAATTGTGAAGCAATTCAAGAAGGCTTTCCTCGGTGATTTCCCTACCATCCATTTCAAGTTCTCCGCTGCTATGTTCAACCTTTCGATGTTACGTATTCAATAGCAATGAACTTTTCCTCATCAATCAACCGATAAATGGAGACCAGGAAAGAAGGCTTGGGCTGGCGTCTAGCTCTGGTAAGTTTCGACCAGGGAAACCCCTCTGAATCATTGATAGTTCTACATTTTCCCAGAATTTGTCACAGTGCACGAAATCTGCATTGTCACGATTATACACCTCCGGCAATCCTATATCAGACATGTTGCAGGCAAAGGATACTTTCTTATTCAAATCCATAATCAACGTAGTAGGGTGGTATCCACAGAGCAAACAGCTGTAATCGTAAGAGTGGTCACTCAGAGCATCAAAATGCAGGTAAGCATTTACCACCGTTTGGGGATTAAGACGCCTTTTAAGTCGCCCCTCTAAAACCTTCACTACACTTCCGATGGGTAAATGTTGTTGAAGAGAATCGTGTAGAAACCGGCATATGTTAAGTCCAATAAGGAATGAACCGTTGAAATTGTGTATGGATGCTATAGTTAGCAAATGCTACCAGATGTCATTCATCAAAGCATCCAGCCATTGAGCCAAGAGGTGTATAGAGCCTGGCTGAGTGCATGCTATGACGGCTCCATCATTTCCATGACTATGGGAATCAACAATCATAGCAGAGCTATCAGAGGTCACTGCTAAAAGCATGGCACGCCGTTCTGTCATTGTTACACTGCAAGATTTTGATTTGCTATCCTAAGCCTCCTGAATTAAGAAATTAGCTAACTGGTGAACTGGATTCAGACCAAAGATGTATAATGATTATATAATGATTGTTTCCATGGCTCAGGAAGAGGGACATCTCTTGGCCAAGGTGAACTTCCATTTATCCACATCTTCCCCATGATCAATGCTATAAAGGCACAAGCATTGTTGCCTGTTCTTCCTTGAATACTTGATTGTGATTCAGCAAAAATCCACTCCACAACACCTGCTACATATGAAGAGGAAGAAGGACATCTCTTGGCCAAGGCGAACTTCACGACTAAACGTTCTAAACCCATAACTGAACGCGGTGGCGTAGCCCCTGATTACGGGAGGCTTCAGCCCACTACAACGTAAGGTGCCTATCTTTTTTCCTTTTGTTTGCCCCTCACCTCTGAAAAGGAATTTTTAAGGTGAATATAAACAAGCCTCGATTCAACACTGAAGATGCAACATAAAAATAAACTTACAATGCACATGCGACACTGTACATTGTGGACAAAACTGGTACAAACGCACAAAAGATAAGCTCATAAGATAAGAATACACTTATGAAGGACTTACGAAAGATGAATTCATTTCACTTTCGTGCACATACACTAGAATCCCGATTTCTCGAACATTCAATTTTTCTCCATAAACCGTTTCAGAGCCTTACAATCCCGAATGCCTCTTTGACCTCGACTCGAATTTTCAACTGGAGCCCATGCTATTTCAATATTGTCAGGCATAATCTGGCCTTTGCGCCATTTCCCATTTTGCTCCCCCACCAAAAAAAATGACCCGCACGGTAATACTGGGAACTGTGGTAGCATGTACTAAGGGCTTTACTTTTAATTCCACATTTTGCAATGACGCAATCTGTGGTTTTTTCAGGTTAACCACATTTTGCAATGATTTCAAACCATGTCTTAGTATTCATTCGCCACATTTTGCGTTATTGCAAACTGTAGTTTCAAAAGCATGCCTTTACGTTTTAAAATACCATACTTTGTAATGATGCAATGTGTGGCACTAGTAGGAGCAACACATTTTAGTGCGATGTTTAACAAACGGCCTCTCACTGTTTATTCTGCATGCTTTGCTCTATTGCTACTAGGCTAAGGTCACAAATGCTTATTGTGCACTAACCAGGCCAGTGCCTTACGTTATTAAAAGAATGAACAATTAAAAAGAATAATGGCTCTGTGTGACAATTTATGAAAAGGGGGACTTACTTCAGCATTATTGGAAGATCCGTATTCAGCACAAATGGCTATGCAAATACTCCTACTCACATGATTTTGTGGTTAAGTTATTCAGAGGCACATTTTTTTTCACCTTTTCTTCATCAACCAGACTATCTTTTGGCAGTGAAATAAAAGAACATACTGATTATTTGACCATCATCTGCACGACCCGGCAGTGAAAAAAATGCATTAATTACGATAAGCTACAGAATAAAGCAGTCAAACACAGTAAATAAACGCACTTCAACTGGTTAAATACGAGGGTTCTATGATGAGAACGCTGCAACCGACGCTAAGTACGCAGCACGCTAAAACTGTCTCAAAAACCTTACTGAAGTACTGAGCACTTACGCATGAACGTTTGCAATGTCACTGCTAGGAATGGCCTTTTGTTAGAGCTGAAAAGCATGGCATCATCCCTGTTCTTCTTTGCAAACTCTTCCAATGTGATAAACCGGAGCTCGTAGGTTCCGGCAGTCTTCTCATCCAGAGCTTGGCTTTCATTTTTGGCTGCAAGCCTGGCTCCTTCAGCAAGATTTGGTGGTATCATCTCAGATATAATTATCTATATCCCAGCCACAACTATCCAGATATCACTGCACATTTGGGCTTCGAGCTTTGCAATTTTTTTTCCTGGCCATAACCAGGTGCACTAACTTCGTGAATTAATTGACAACCACAGGAAATGATTCAAGATGTTTTTTAATTAACCAAGCTATCTGATTGGCTTATCTTGTAGAATTTCTACACCACCCTGTGGTGTTAAGCTACGTAGTAAGTACAAAGAATAATTGTTCATTACAGTAACTTTATCATAAAGCTTTTGCAATACTGTACCTTCATATTGTCATGCAAATAAAGCTTATGTTGTTTTGTTGTTTAGTGAACTTTACCCAGTCCATACTTCATTTCCTCTAACACAATGCCAATATATATGCTATTCTGCATCCTCTGACATCCCCGATGTTTTCACCTCCACAAGTCAAGATCACAATTAGAACATCAGATCCTCATCAGCTGATAATTTTTATCGCAAATACTCTACACTAAACCATCACAAAACCTCTTTTTCTAGCATCAGGGCTAAAATTTGGAATAGTATCCCTGAGAATCTGAGAAAACTTCCGAAACACGCTTTCAAGAAAAAAATACCGTAAATCCTCTTACTAACTTTCCTCCTTTAATAAGCCCCCTTCTCTATTAAGCGCCTTCCCTCTCTCCCTCCCCTGCATCCTTATTATTAGAAACCTTAAGATTTGAGGACAGTGTCTTCTTCTAGGACGTCACGGCATATAAAGGCCTGGGGTGAGAACGCTGTTCTTTGCGTAGGAACTTAGCCTTAAGAAAAGATAAACAGGACACAAACTTTCTCCAGCACCTTGGTCGAGAATGGCGTCCTTCAGGAAAGCGCGGGACAAACTTCTTGTAAGTTTTTGCAAGGAAATCGCCAATGAGGATGAGTTTCTCTTGTTGTATGATGTTAACAAGGCGAAACATCCAGAGTATCCTTATTGGAATTATGAAAGATTTACATTGCAAGATAAAAGTGAGGCTGAGTGTAAGACAGATTTTTGTTTCGAAAAATACATCATTCCTCTCTTGGTTGATGTTCTTGGCCTACCTGACGAAATAAAGTGTAAAGAAGGAACAATCTGTGACAGCACTGAAGGACTGTGCATTGTTCTCAAGCGGCTGGCATACCCTTGTCACTACAGCGACCTCATAAGCATTTACGGCAGACCTGTCCCTGAAATCTCCATGATAAGTAATACAGTCATTGATTTTACATTTGAGCATCATGGTCGTCGGATATTAGAGTTGAATCACACTATTTTAAATCACCATGCATTACAGACATATGCTGAAGCTGTTTCAGATAAAGGTACGGTGCTCGACAATTGTTTCGGTTTTGTGGATGGTACAGTTTGTCCAATTTGTCGCCCAAACACCAATCAAAGAATTGTTTACAATGGGCACAAAAGGGTGCATTCCCTGAAATTTCAATCAATCGCCATTCCAAATGGACTAATATCCAATCTTTATGGTCCTGTTGGTAAGTGTGTTTAAGTATAGCTGTATCGTTCAATTTTATTTATGTTTATAAACAAACAGTTATATAAAGAAGCTTTAACAGTGGGCTCTACTGTTATGACACTGCAGGAATTTGAACACAAGAAAACCTGCTGGAGACCTGGGTCACAGTACGTCTTTTACATACTTCTCATTTGTTGTCATATACAATCAGTGAACAGTAAAATAGCAAACATGTGAGGACCACAATGAAAAAGGCATATCCTCTTCGCATACACCTGCAAGCTTAGTGGGGTGGTTGTTTGGGGACATAATCAATTATTTTTGCTTTCCCGATTTTAAGAAAAACTTAAAAATACGGCTCAGCCAAATAGGTAAAATGTACATTGTTTGTGCCCTTTTAAGGAATGCCCTTACATGCATTTATGGTAATACTACTTCCTAGTATTTTGATTTGGACCCACCCACGTTGTAAGAATACTTTGCTTAATTTCATCATTGAAGAAATATGACAAAATTTTATTTGTTCAACACAACTTCAGTATGTAAACTTATGGCACAACAAAATTGAATAAAGAATAAAATGGTTGTTTAAGTTCGATAAACCTCACCATTAAAAGGAGTTTTTCAGTTCTTAACAATACAATGAATTAGTATTTAAAAAAAGCTGTAACGCACAAGATTATGGCATAATGTGGTAAACAATGGAACATACTCCTGAGTACAGGTATCTAACTTTTTTGTTAAGTTTGTCAACAACAGCCATGAGGATCTGAGATCGCTGCTGGTGGTGCATTAGCTCCATCATAGCTTTCTCGTGATCAAGATAAGGAGCCAGCTTCTTCTCCTCCAATTCTTGCTGCTTTCATCGTATCGGTAACCCTTCTTCTCTCAATGCTTTCTCGCTTTCAGCTTTCTCACGCAGAAATGAGATTGTTTCATTGCCACTTCTCTTTTTCTTCATATAGTTTTCCTGTTCTCCTTCCTCAACTTCTCTCTTCTGGGTTTCTCCTAACTTCTCCATTGCCATTTTTCTCATACTTCCAGCTTTCCGTTTATCAGTGTCCTCTTTCTCCTTTACCACTGCTTCATCAATCTCCTGGAAGGTGGAAGCGACTTCCTCTATTTCAATAATATTTGCCAGTGCTTGGTCCAATTCTGTAGGTTCAGGTGACACTCCACTTGACCTTTCTTCAGCATTCACCTTCTTCCTGTACCTCTTAATATGTTGAGGTGATCCCGAACTGATCTTTTTGTTACAAAAAAACACATACTCGCGTTTTACGCACGATTCAAAATAAAAAAAATGGCGTACTCGCCACATCTGAAACGCCGTCCCATTCACACACAGACATGTGCAGTGACATTTTTAGGCGAAAACAAACTTCCGGTGGCATCCTAGACAGATGACGTCCACAAATCTTAAGGTCCCTATTTTCAAAAAAATAACGTGGACTGATCAGTTATGGTTTATTCAGGCTGGAAGCTCATATTGTTTTTGGTCGTGGACCACATGACCTTCAACTTCTTGTGCTTAACCTTCTCAAATTTACGCTCTACTTCTCTGTGGAGAACTGTTGCCATTTTCTTACTGTTAGAAAAAGCAATATAATGCCCGGTAACCACAAGTCCGTCCTCAAGAATCTTGCTGCAGTTGATGTTTCGCTAAATTAAATAAGCCCCTCTCTCTTTTACGCCCCCCTCAAAAGTGATAACTTTTTTTACCGTTTAACACCTTGTTATGAAGGATTAAGCCTATAGACGTATAGACTGATTTTGTAAGAGCTAGCACTGATCTTTTAATTATTTTATGCTTTATCTGTAAAAGGAGCAAAAGAAAAAGGAAAGAATAAGTTAGCTGAAAGTCGTTGTTCGTCAGTAGAGAGATTATGCATCATTTTAGTTCACAGTATACCTGTGAAAAATGAATTATTGGCTATAACTTATGCATGGATGATGGTGTTAAATCGAACTTTGGCACACATAAAGAACTCATTGTCCTTAAAATCGTACAGTATAAATATTATGTTAGCAAGTCACGTGATATGCCACATGACTATTTAGCTCAAAATCGTAAAAAACAGTCGAGCAATAACACTTTTTCTAATATTCGTACTAAATATTTCTAACCCTTCCACGTTTGGAATGACCATCCATTGCAGTTCGATAAAAAAAATCGGGGAAACATTTTAATTACCCAAATATAGTCTTGCCGTATTCAAAAATTTAATTTTAAACTTCGCGTACATTCATTCCTAACGTAGAGAGTTAGGCATGTTTAGGTCTCCTAAAGAGATATATTGCCAATCAAAAATATGCTCAGAACAGACCTTTGACCCAGGCCTTAAACCCCCTGAACCAAACGGTGAATGCTGACTTCATTGACACTCCCTTGAACACCTTTTCCAAAAAACTCCTCCCTTGCAATGTTCAGTTTCTCTAACAAACGGACTCTGTCTAACAATCTTATTTTAATTTGATTATGTCTGCATGATAGGTGGGTGACCCACCAGATGTTAGTTCACTTATTTGGTGTCCCCCACCTCTTTTTAGTAATGTTTGATCTTGCCTTGGACAAGACTGAGCAGGATTTGGATCATATTATTCTATTGCAAGCCATAATTAACCGTAATTATCACTCTAAGGATCCTAGAAATCAATCTTCTGAGGCTCTGTTCTCTTTAGGGTTTGCATGGAGAAGCAAACACTCGCAAACAGCGTGTATTATAGGGGATTCAGAAATACATATCTTCTGTCTTACGTTGCACTGTGGCCACGGAGCCAGTTAAACACAGGCTCTCTTTCCAAAGCAACAAGACTCTTAGTTCATGATCAGCAGCCCTGATTAAGGGTGGGTTTCCACTGTAGTGTAATTTCACATGTGCACGCAACTAAAAAGTACGTGATATGTGGAAAAACACTTTTTCGGGGAGGCAAAGAAAGTAAACTGCAGTTAAACGTAATCATAATCTGTTTTTATTTTTACCTTCAAAAAGCTGTTCTTATTGATTTTGCCAAGGCGAAACATGTTAACATAATCTGAGATTAGGCCAAATAGACCCTTCGTTTGCACCTTTAAAAAACCGTGCAGGGTAATGGCTAATTTTGTTTCTTTCAGTCGCATCAAAAAACGAACTTTCATGATTTTTTAACCATTTACGTAGCCTAATTTTAACACCAAGAAGGTCGAGAAAATTATACTATCTTTAAACAATAAAAATAAGAGTTACAAGAAAGAAGAAAGAAAGAAGTCACATCTCATTTATTCCTTGAAGAAAAAAAACCCAACTAATTCGTCCTAAAAAGTTCTTAATACACTGTATAATCCCTAAAGCTGGCTGCTAAAACAGATAAAAAGTTGGCCATCATGTTATCCAATCCTCGCCATGCCTCCACATTCTGTCGCTTAAATACAACTGGACGTCTTCTCTAGGGATGCCTCTTCTCTCCTTTATGGGTCCTTTTAAATTGTTCCATGCAGACTCTGCCTCCTGTGTATGAACACCAGTTGTTGGGTCTACGAAGTTCTGACTATGGACAACCATGTGATGCTGGGCAACGTGGGTTGGCAAATGCCGTTCTAGGTTTCCGTAAGCTCTCCTGTCATCGCTGTAGACAATGCTGCCTGGTCAAAGGCGCCTCTCTAATATGGGCTATAAAGTAGCAGGATCTGTTTTGGGAACTACCTGGAAGTATCCAGGTAGCTGAATTGTTCAACAACTACTTTGTTCACATCGTTGATGAAGTACAGGACATTAAAGAACACACAGAATGTTGTTATTGTTTACAATGTGCCTCCACCTTCGTGAGACCAGGCATATTGTTTTAAGCATTTCTTTAAGGGAGAAGTTTTTAAACACCTCGACCAATACTTCATCAGGCAAAGCTGTGTACAAAACGAAATTAGTACTAGTCAGTTTTACTTGAAATTCTCCTGACTTCTTGCATCATTTGAATAAATACTCTTTTCTCGGACTGGTCAATATAAGTTTACCATTCAGATAAATAAAAATAAGCATCTTCTACCTTCGATCCCGGACACTTCAGCCTGATCATCTGGGTTGCTGAGGTTTGGTAGCTTGTTCGGAGGAGCAGAACAGCTTTTTTCTGTATTTATCACGACAGTTCATTTAGAAGTATTAATTAAGTCTTAATATCATGATAAATTTTAATGTATCTGCCTCGGTTTAATGAAAATTTTATTTCTGCTTACCTTCGTTTTTATATTTGAAAGGAATGATTTTCTCGCCACCCATTTGGCAAGATGGCGGCGTGATGGAAAACGCACTTTGTTTATGAATTACACGGTATGTCGAGGATACTGGCTGTTGAAAACAGTTTTTGGTGTTATAGAATTAAATTAAAATACTTCTTTTGAAAAAGAACCAAGAACGTACCTGATTTCTGTGCATAAAAATCTGTTATTTTCTTCATTTTTCGTCAAACGTTGTACACACTTCAACAATACTCAAGCATTCGGTTGGTCTCAATCCCTCTCATCTACTTTTCAATGAGTGTCACCTGTTCATGTCGCTTGTTATACCTGAACCTGATACGACCTTTGCGAAATGTACATTATCTTTTCATAACTTGACAAGCAGTCGAATGGTAAAAGTGAAATAACTTCGTAAAAACAATTTTATTCTATTATTCTTTTACGAAGAATCAAGCAAAATAACAAAAAAAAAATTCTCAAAGGGGGGCGTTGCAACCCCCTCAACCCCTCCCCTGGATCCGCCTCTGTTGTACAAGAAAATGTTCGGTCTGTCAGGACTCACCCGAATTTGATATGTGTCATCCTTCATGGCGAGACCTTTCATTGTGTCGCTGATAACTTCGGATGTTGCAGTGGCTGTAAGAGCAAGAACAGGAGTCCCCTGTGGTAGCAGGGAGCGCACATCACCAATCTTAAAAAAGCATTCCCTGAATGCAGCCTTTTTGCTTTTTTCATTTCCTTTACCCCTGAAAGTTAAAAACATTATCATAAATGTATGATATAATCAGAAGAAACAATAAGGATTTAATATTTGTGCAGCAATCTCACACTATTTCACACAAATAAAAGATTAGAATCTACAATAAACATGCAAGATCCTTGCAGCTAGAATTTATTTATTTTTTTTTGACATTTATTTTGTTTTAAAAAAAAATTACCAAAAAACCTTATAAACACATCTGGAATATTACAGTAAAGTAGAATATTTACACAGCTATGGATTACTCTATGAACTCATTTATCCAACCATCTGAAAATCATGATTACTATAAGTATAGTTTCTTCCCAAGAGCTATAAGGGACTGAAACTGTTTATTACCTGAAACCAG